ATTCGGGATAACACGACGCTCTTCCGATCTGCGGGGGGGAGGAGCACGGCCGCTGCGCGGGGAGGGAGGGGTTCTGTAGGACCAGCGCTTCAGGCGCGCCCCACCAGGGACCCTCTCCAAAGCCTCACTCAAATTGTTGTCTGAAATTGAACCCACAAGGCGGCTCAGCTTAAAGCTCTGCGGAATCGGATCCCGGCGGCCTTTGGATGAGTGGTTGGTTCCTTCTTTTAAAGTAAGGGGGACAGAAGCATAGAGATCAAAGCAGCCTGAAATATGCCAAGAAGGTCGCTCCCGCCTTCTCCCCTTCCCCAACGTCCCAATGTTCTTTCACTCTATCTGTTCTGATTGCGACATGAGTGAAGAGGGCATTTATCCTTCTGCAATAAGGACCCCCAGCACAAAAAATGGCAGAGAGGCAAGCCTGGATCAAGCCCTCTCTAATCTGCACTAGAGCATGCGCTCTGTTTCGAAAACCTGGACATTTGGCTGGAGTCCTAGGATATCCCAGTTCTGGGCACAGCCTGGCCAGAGCCCCCTTGAGTTGGCCACCTCAAAACCACTGGGGGAAGTGGTCTGCCCCCTCCCCAGCCTCTGTGCCATAGAAGATTGGCCAGGCCAGGGGGGAGCAGGCCAGTTGCACTCCTCTGTATGTCCTTGCTCTCCCACTCTTGGAACCCCCAGCTCTTTTCAAAAACGGAAGGAAAGAATGGCAGGCCATGGCTCAGTGCCCCCTACCCTCCGGGTGTGTTTTTAAGGAAATGTGTCCCTGATGCTGGGCCTTGCTCCTCCCTGCAGCAGTAGCTACTGTTAAAATCGAAACATTTTTCCCAGTACCTGCGATGATGGAGCAGTCAGAAGACTTGGGAGGCTAAGTGAAGACCACTTGGGTCCACAACTTTGAACAGCCTGGGCTACAGAATGAGACCCTGTCTCAAAATGCAAACAGAACACCCCTAAAGATGAATCAGGAGAGTTGCTTGAAGCTGAACTGGTCTACACGGTGAGTTCCACTCTTTACTGAACAACTCTGCCTAGAGGAAAGAAGAAAGGAACGAAAGCTAGCAGTCTGGGTTTGGTGGTGCATACCTGTAGACATGCCTTTTAGGAGTTCAAGATGGAGCTGGGCACTGGTGGCACACGTCTTTAATCCCAGCAGAGGCAGAGGCAGGTAGATCTCTGAGTTCGAGGACAGCCTGATCTACAGAGTGAGTTCTAGGACAGTCAGGGATCCACAGAGAAACCCTGTCTTGAAAAACCAACACTCCTCCCCTTCCAAAACAAGGAAATTCAAGAGCAGCCTGGACCATATGAGACCCTATCTCAAAACCAAGCCAAACAAACAAAAAACCGCGAAATAAATAAAAACCTTTTTCTGAAGGGCAGATTTATGATCCTCCTTCCCATTCCTTCTGGGAGGCAGAGATTATCAGGATACTTCTGGATGTCCAGACGGGGACACCAGGAGGACAAGGACTCGGTTTCCAATTCACCCCAGTGTCCCTCTGCTTCCAGCCCAGCTCGGGTGCCTGTCAATATTTGCCGAAGGGAAGCGTGAGATGATACGTGCTTCTAACTCCTGGATGGTGCAGAATTTAGCCACTCTCGGGTCCTTTCTTCTCTCTTCTCCACCTCCCCTCCTTTGGAGCCTGGAATCAGCTTATGAAATGGAGAGTGTAGCAGAGGAGGAGGAGGGATTTACAGCTTAAGGAGGATCGCGTCCTTCTTGTGTGTGAGGCGAGAGGCCGACAGGCTCTTAAAAGTGTTAAGGCTGAAGGAGGGCAACTTTCCCCGCGTGCCAATCAGGCTGTCTCCATTTACCCGGGCTAAAAACGGCCTATCCCCCTCCCCAGACACATACCCATGTGATTCCCAGCCAGTCCTGACGACCCCCACCCCCACCCCCACCCCGTCTCCATAAAGACTTTCTACATTGTCATTTAGAAGGTGGGGGAGATACGCTGGGCAGGGACAGGACATGCTTTAATCCCATCACCCATCCGAGACAACCTGCCACCAAGCCGCTCATACTTGGTCGCCTCTGTTGGGCTGGTTTTTAGTTCGGGTTCTGTTGCTCTGTTCAGAGCTTAGTTGTTCTTTCTGACCTTTCGCGCTTCGCCCTTCCTTCCCCGGTTTTCCTGGAGTTGGGATAAGCGCCACCAACTGTTCTGTGTACATGGGGCTCACTAATGCCAAGCTGACCTTGGGGCCGCAGGGGCTCTGGGGGTTCTCTCCCTCCACTCCCATCTCTGAGCAGCGCTTTAGAGCTGGGTTGTCTTCTGATGTCCAGAGTCTGCCCTTGTTGCCCTCTCTTACTGCCGCTGTGCTGGTTGGCGTCTGCTCATCCTCGACCTCATGATGACCCTCAGGACCTGCAGTGCAGAATGATTCCTTTGGGCCAGCAAAGAAACTGGATTCCAGTTCCTCATCCTACGCAGGGACTGATGTGCAAACCTCACCCCTTCTCCAGCCCTCTCGTCTTAGTCTGAGTCTATAGATTCTGCGGTCAGTCAACAACCACAGGTGCCAACAATTACGGGGTCTGTGCCAAACATTCGATGCCTGACTGTATGGACACGTGGCCTTGGGGTGAGGGGCAGCAAGAGAGACTTACAAGACACAGCTGGTCTGTGTTCTGGGGTCTGGCTATCCATGCAGCTGACACCCCCACTTCATGTACATGCCATGAGCTGGACTAGGGGTTCTAAAGGTAATGCCATCCACTGAAGGAGAGACCCTTTGACCCTGGACCCCAAGGTCTCTGCTCACAGCAAAGGCTCTGGGGTACCCACCCCCTGTCTCTTCCCCTCCCAAGCCTGTGTCACCAAAAAGTTGCCCATTGATCCAGGCTTAAAATAACCCCTGGCATCTGCAGTGAGCCCCACGGGGCGGGCGAGAGGAGCTAAGTGTCTGCCTGAAGGGCACCGCCCCGCCCCCAGCTCTCAGGGCTGGCAGCTGAGTGTGAGTGTGAGTGTGTGCGTGTACAGGCAGAGTGTGCTCCTGAATGTGAGTGAGAGAGTGAGTGTGTGTCAGGGGCAAGGGTGACTCTCGGGGGCCTTCCCTGCGCTATGGGTTTACACTGCCTGACTGGCTGTGGGAGCCTGAAATCCTATGGACATTAGCAAAAGCTTGTGTTGGGCCTCAGTGTCCCCATCTTAGACGGTAGGTGACCTGTCTCTACTCTGTGCAGTTGTAGACAGGAAGGTTTGGAATTTACTAGACAGAAACCTAAGAACAGCAGAGGGGAAGTGACTTGCTGTGACTGGCACAGAGCCAAGAGGAGCCAGGGACTGGCCTGGAGCCATACTCCAAGTCCCAAGCCTGCCTTTGGCCAGCTCAGTACACAGCAGCTAGAAGCCCCCACTGTCCCAGGGAGGCACTTCTCCCCCATGACCTGCCCATGGGCAGCCAGTGCAGAAGGCCTCCCCCAAGTGGCTTTTCCTTCTCCCCTCCTCTTTAGAATGCCTTCTACTGTCCTTAGGATGATGCTCCCGCTCTGGGTGGTCGCATCTGGCCGTCTAGGTCTGTTTTCTTACAGGCAAGACGGGCAGCTAGGAGGCACAGAGCTACAGGAAGATGCTAAAAGGCCCTGACTGGAAACTCCTAGTGTAGGCAGCCACCTGGGAGTGCCCCTGCAGAAGATAGTGATGTGACTATCAGTTGTCACTCAAGTCAGAAGGCGACACCTGAGTTCTTCCATTTCCTCATGAGGTTCTAGAGAGGTTGGACTCCCTGCTAGTACAGATGCTGGCACCAGGAGGGGGTCTGGAGGGAAGGCGTTGGGCTGCCTTTGTCTCCTGAGAGGCAGCTCGTGACTCAGGCTCCAGCTGCCTGTGGGAGGGAGGGGGCGAAAGAGGCTCCTGAGGTCTCAAGGGAGCAGCAGGATTGGGGGTGCGGGGCTGGGCGCTGAGACTCAGCCTGCCCGCCCCAGTATTTATGCTCTGTGTCCTGGCCTCTGCTTTCCCCTGCCTGGGAGGCTCAGGTAACCCCCTTCCCTCTGCTTGCAACCCCCCCCCCTCCCGGCCCCATTAGTGTCCTTCAGGAGCCTCCAGAGGCCAGAACTGTAAGAACAGGGCAGGATGGGAATTAGACGGTGCGGCCACCGGTTCAGGAAAGTCCTTCTAGCCCAGGCTGACCACGCCTGGGGCCAACTCCACTGAGTCAGCTCAGGAAGTGCGGTATGGGGTGTCCTGATCCCTAGCCTTCGCACAGCATCCTAAAGTGTGTGATAACTCACATCCAAGCCCCTCTTGCACCTGTCGCAGTCCTCTGAAGGCCCGTGAAGACACGGACCCCTCGTGAAGAGAGCCAAAAGGGCAGTGGGGGTGGGGTCTGTACTTAGAGACAGAGAACTTGCCTGGTGAGCACCAGGGATTCCATCCTCAGCACAACCGGGGGTGGGGGGGGACCTGGCGTGGCAGCGAATACCATCATTCGTAAAGGGTTGGCCAGATCAGGAGTTCAGGGTCATTCTGCGCTACAAAGACAGTTCGAGCACAGCCTGGCTGTGAGACCGTTTCTCAAAACAAAACAAGACAAGGTTGCCTCCGACTCGACCTGCCCTTTATCGGTCTCCGCCCTTGACCTCCCTCTTGGAGTTGCCTCCGGCCACACCTCTTTCCTGCAACCCCGTCACCGCCTCAACCCCGCCTCTCATTGGCCCCGCCCCAAGCCCCACCCACCTCTCTAGTCGGACCCTCTAGTCTTAGCTGGTGGTCTGGCGAAGACTTCTCTAGCTGCGCAGACAAAGCTGCGAGGTGCAGACCTGGAACCCAGATTCATTAAAGCTTAAGGATCCGTCCCATCCGGCCCCTCTCCCTGGCTGCAGAGTCTTGGGAGGTCGGCGTGACAGCTGGGTGGTCTTCAGGAAACTTTTGTTTTGTTTCGTGTTTTAAAGACAAGGTCTCATGCACCGGATATTCCTGCATCCACCTCCCAAATTCTGGGATTACAGGATTACAGACTCGAGCCTCCAAGCCCCATTTTATAACGTGGTGGGGGTGGAACTAAGCGCTTCAAGGACATTAGGCAAGCACTCCACCAACTGAGCCACACCTCTAAGCAGAAGCCCCAGTCTGGAAGATAAAGAGGCAGACCTTGAGACCTGCCCAACTTTTAAAGGCGGGGTTGTCCATCTCTGCTGACAAAGAGGAGGTGGGAGAGGGGGAAATCAGCAGGCTTTCCTATCTGGCTTCACTAGTGGGTCCCCACCTCCACCTTGAGCCCCAAGGCCCGGAGCTGCCAGGCAGGAAGTGAAAACGGCCTGCAGGAAACACCAAAGGGAACTGAGACTTCTACCCTTGGCCCCCACCTGTTAGTCCCTGGGGACCTGGGGGAAACCAGACCCTCCAAAGGAAACCCCAGACAGAAGCAGGCTAGGGGGTGTTGGGCTGCCTCCCTCTGTTCCCACTTCATCCAGCGTGCCTTCCAGAACCTACCTTGGGCCAAAGCTAATGCCAGAGACAAGTCTCTGAGTAGCGATGAAAACAAGAGGTGGGGGCCGGTCAGTGCCTGAGTCAGTGGCTCTCCAGGACCTAGCTTGGGTAGGTGACCCCCTGTTGGGTAGGCAGACTGGATGAGGGCAGGTACCCCAATAAAAAGCCCCAACACTGGTTGTGATTTGTATCTCGCAACCACATAATCACACTTGTGGACGTGATGGTCGTTCCAGGTCTCAGGACATAAGTGTGTCACCCAGAGGTCATTAGAGAGGTCAAGGCCATTGTCACTGCAGGCAGAGGTTTCTTCAGGAGAAGGCGCTTGCTCTGTTCCTGTGATGCCAGCCGAGCCTGCAAAGGGCCAGATGCTCACACGGAAAACTTGATAACTGTCAAAAGCTCCATTGGGAGTGTTTAAAGCCAGAAACCTACCCGACGTGCCGTGCCGATCAAGATGGAACTTAAAGGAAAAAAGTGTGAGGGGGAGGAGGGTCGGTGCACACTTGTGGAGGTCAGGGGGCAGCTTGCCGGAGTCAGGTCCCAGGGTTAAACTCAGGTTGCCAGGCTTGGCAGTAAGCACCTTTACCCGGTGAGCCATCTTGGCCCACAATGGGAAACTTTCAAGACTGCAGTGACTGTAGTGGTGAGCAGCACACACAGCACAGAGAGGCTACGCCGGTGAGCAGCACACAGCACAGAGAGGCTACGCCGGTGAGCAGCACACAGCACAGAGAGGCTACGCCGGTGAGCAGCACACAGCACAGAGAGGCTATGCCGGTGAGCAGCA